TTTATTTTTTGACAATTCCATGTTGTTTGTAATCATAATTTTAGTAATATTACTTTTCATTAATATTTGTTTTAAATTAGTAATTAATATGTTATTTTTAAGTGTGTAGAGATTGGCTTCATAATTATAGACAAACTTAGTAATAATAAAGATGTAGTCATTAAAGGGTATTCATAAAATAAGGGAGGATCTCGCTAAAAAAATAAATAAATAAAAATAATACAAAAAATTGCAGTCCTCCAATCTTATTTATTTATTTTTTTAATATAAGAAAATACCTAGATTCTGAGATGGGCGATTTAGTAAAATTCACAGTCCTACCTAATAGTATCATAATGCGTAGTATTTTGGCGCATATTTAATAAGGTTATTTTCTTAAATACGGGTGTACATTTATGTAACCCAAATAACGATCTTGACGAAGTCAAAATGCGTCAACAAATCACGTGTGCATTGGTTGTGACGTGGTTTGAGACGACGTTGCAATTTTGTATAAAATAAATAATGATAAAAGCGGTTTTAAAAGTTAAATTTGCATATAAGTTCTTAATTGTTTAAAAATCAGATAAATGAGCCAAATATGACAATTGAGCGACCGTGCTAAAACCACGGAATTCGGGAATGCCTAATACCTTCTCCCGGGTTAACAGAATTCCTTATCCGGATTTCTGGTTCGCGGACTGTAATACAGAGTCATTCTTTTCCTCGATTCGGGATTAAAATTGGTGACTTGGGACACCCTAAATCTCCCAAGTGGCGACTCTGAAATAAATAAATAAATTCCGTTTCGATCGTCCATTAATTGGAAAAAACTCTCTTCACCCCCGCGGGGGCGGAAAAAGGAGGTGTGACAAATGCTGCCATAAATCCCAAGCCCATAGATTTAGATGGTTGAAAAGGACATATCTATCTATATAGAATTAACACAAGCAAAACAATATTAGGCTGCCAAGTGGAACACCCATCATGGTAACGCATGTAACAAACTAAGACAACTATCCAAAAAAGTTGGAGTTTTTTTCTTCTACCTACAAATCAGCTAAATCAGCAAAAAAATCGAAATAATCAGCCAATACTCACATCTTTGCCAATCCTCCCACGATTTTAGCTTTCTGGTATTTCCTCCCCTTAATTAACGTGGTTGTTATTAAAAACAAAACAACATGCATATTGGTTGTAAACAACATGTTTATAATACGGATTAATTGTATTTAATTATTTTACATTCTAATGTTATTTCAGAAGCTCACCTAACAGATGAAGAATTGAAAAATCGTTGTTTGCAAAAGCTTGAAACTTTTTTGAAAGGTTGTGGAAGAAGTTTTCTGGATTTTCCAACAATGCCAAGGCCTGTTTATAATACGGAAGAAGTTGATAGCAATAATAGATTAATACGGGATGAATTGCGTTATAATAAACGCGCTTTGGCAGAGGAACATCAACAATTAGTAAAGAATTTGACAGATGAGCAAAAGTCAGTTTATGAAAAAATAATAAGAGATGTGAATAAAGACAAAGGTGGGTTTTTCTTTTTATATGGTTTTGGAAGAACGGACAAGACTTTTATTTGGAGAACTCTAACTTCTGCCATAAGATCTAGAGGAGATATTGTCTTAACTGTTGCATCTAGTGGGATTGCATCTTTGTTGTTACCAGGTGGTCGAACAACTCATTCAAGATTTGTGATTCCTCTAAATGTAACTGAAGATTCAACATGTAATATAAAGCAAGTTACTCCTTTATCAAATTTAATTATTAAGGCAAAATTGATTATCTGGGATGAGGCACCCATGATGCATAGATATTGTTTTGAAGCTCTTGATAAAACTTTAAGAGATATTCTTAGGTTTAAAGATGCATCCAATTTACACCGACCATTTGGAGGTAAAACAATTGTTCTTGGTGGTGACTTCAGACAAATATTACCTGTCATTCCAAAAGGTAGTAGGCAAGATATTGTTAATGCTTCTCTCAATTCTTCTTATTTGTGGCCTCACTGTCAACTGTTAAAGTTAACAAAGAACATGAGATTGCAAGGTAATGAAATAGGGACACATCTAGATGAGTTGAGAGTTTTTTCAGATTGGATTTTGGCAATTGGCGATGGTATAGTTGGTACTTCTGTTGATGGCAATGAAAAAGTCCAAATACCAGATGATCTTTTGATAAAACAATCCGTTGATCCAACATCTGCAATTGTAGAAAGTATGTATCCGAATTTCAACAGTCGTTGCAATGATATAGGATACCTACAACAAAGAGCCTTTCTTACTCCAACTATTGATATGGTGGAATCAATCAACGAATATATGATTTCCCTTAATGAAAGTTCTGAGAAATCATATTTGAGTTCCGATACAATCTGCAACTCTGACAGTACTTATTCAGCACTGGAACATGTACACACTCCTGAATTCTTAAATACAATTAAATGTTCTGGAGTTCCAAATCATGCTCTTACGCTAAAGGTTAGTATTCCAGTAATGTTATTAAGAAATATTGATAAGTCAGCAGGATTATGTAATGGAACAAGGTTGATCATAACTAAACTTGGAAATCAAGTTATTGAAGCAAAGGTTTTAGCAGGACAGATGGCTGGACAGAAAGTGTTTATTCCAAGAATGACATTGACGCCATCTGATGCTAGAATTCCATTCAAGTTCCAGCGAAGACAATTTCCAATCATTGTATCTTTTGCCATGACAATCAACAAAAACCAAGGACAGTCATTGTCTCACGTGGGATTATTTAAAAAAAAACAGTTTTTACACATGGACAATTATATGTTGCTCTTTCTCGAGTGACGAGTAGAAAGGGATTAAAAATATTGGTTTGTGATGACGATGGGGATATAACTACTGAAGCTACAAATGTTGTATTTAAAGAAGTTTTTCGAAATTTAGTCTGACACTCGAAAGATAATCAATATCTTTTTTGAGCTTTAAGTACAACTTTTGTTATTGAGATTCATTAACCAAGTGCGACAATAGATGTTGACAACATATCTGAAGCATGTAATAGGTACGCTTTACTTTTCTGCTCTTTTCTTATATATTTCTCTATTTCTCTATTCTGTATATAAATTAACTTTTTTAAAAATATTACAAATATAGATATGTCATGATTTGCCATAATATGGATTAACAGACTTCTTACATCGCATTTTTGAAGAGGCAATGAATTTCATATACGAATTTGGTTTTAATATGCTAATTCATCAACCGGACATTGTGAAATTTCATCAAATGTAATTGGATTAAATAAACTTATGGATGTTTNAATGGAAAGAAAATATTGATTCAGTTTGACAATTTGTAGGAAAACAAGCTGTCAATGGAAAGTGTGAAAGTCTAAGCTACCCAGAGAGGGAAAAAATATTTTTGAAGCTGAATTTAAAGGAAAGACATCTTGGAACTTGTAATATATCATGTCTATGTGATACACAAGATTTCCATTTCAAGATAGTCAATAAATCTCTTCCCTCTGAAAACATTTGGATATGCTAATTGGAAACAATCAAGTTTCTTTCTATAATATATATAAATGAACTATCTGAATATGTATAAACCATATTAACACCATATATTCTATGTTCTTCGTCTTGGCATATTAATAAATACTGTGTATGATCGCTTATTCGTTTGAATATCCGAAATTGCAAAAATCTGTAGACACTTATTCACTAATTTTGGATGTGTATAATTGTTTTGAGACTTGGTAAGTATATGTCTAATTTCAGAAAAGCAGAGTTTGTGCAAATAGTTCGACGTCTAAGCTTTAGTTCTCGACAGCAACCACAAAATACAAGGGAGCGGCGATGCACAAATATGGAGGATGGGAAGCTTATTTTTTCCACTTTCTTAGTGCAACAGAAGGGAGGCAATTACTAATTTTGAAGTGACCACATATGAAGGGGAATTTATGCGGTTTCATATGTTCAAAAATTATCGGGGTTCAATGATGATTTACTGATCGACGATTATAAGTTCCTTACGAGAAAAGAGCAAGACATTCCTCAAATTGTATGAGATATTAAGAACACTTTGGTTAATCAAACACTGTATTGTGTTTGATAATGTTGGATCAATAATGTTATAATATGTTTTACTCCCTTCCTATTGCTCTTTTTCGTCTAAATGATCTATAACTCCCTTTAGTTATTAAAGCTTAATGGCATTATAGTGCTATCATTTCCTGTTTGTTAAGAAAGTTTTGCTTCTTCAACAATAAAAATTGTCATAACAGGCTGCTGTACTATTTTGGATATTAATCAAAATGACATTATCATTTTTGTTTCACCTGTAGCATACAGTTCAAGGAACTCTTTGTTACGTCTTTTCCGTTTTACATTATGCGCAGTCTGACAAAATCTGCTTTGCTCAAAAATAGCATTTGGCAAGCTTGAGTGTAACAAGATACACGACAACTAACGAACCATATAGCAGACAACTAACAGACCATATTCACGCTTTGCTGCATGAAAGAAAACATCGAAATCTCCAGTTGGTATAATATCTAGTAGCGAATCTGAGAAATTCTTCAACAGTGGATTTAAGGAATAAACACAGTCCATGTTTTCCAAAAATTCTGTCTCACGCATATCCCCCATGATCTCCCATTCTCACACAACACTCCTCACATCCCAACCATATCATTCACGTCCCCTTCCCAATCATCCCCACTTTCCCACTATAATAATCCCATCATCTATCTTCTATCTATATAAAGAACACAAATATAGAGGGGTCAGACGAAGAAAACATTAGAGAATAACGAAAAAGAGAGCTTTGTCCCATAATATTAGGTAACAATTATCTTTGCAAAGCCTTCTCAATTTGACTACACCATACTTCTCTATTTTACTACAGTATAGTGTATACAAATACTTTTTTACAAGCCTCTATCATCAACAAAAATCTGTTCAATAGACGGCTGTACAACTTGTGACAACTACGCCAGTTACGACTGAATTTAACATGGAAGAAGAGAAGAAACAAGACAGAAAAATCGAATGGATATACAAAAGCAGAAACAGTCTAAATTTTCTCCCGATAACAACGGTATGAACTTTAATCCATTGTTTACAGATTTGCGATTTGCATAATTGTTGCTTACATAGGGTCTCTTTGTTCAATGCTTACAAATACTCCATATTTCCTACTTTGTTTATTTTTCTCTGATTTTCCTTGGGCTAATTAACAAACCTCATTCTTTATTACAAGTGGAATGGCCATAGAGTGGAAGGAAAAGTTAGAATTAGCAGAAGAGTAATGGCAGCTGTAAATGCAGCGTCGACGTCGATGTTATAAAATTTAAAACAATCAAGCTTTTAACAGAATTTTCTTTTGTTATGTAGTGGTGAAGCAGCCTAGGAATGTACTTTTTTTACGCAGTTGAATATAGTTTATAATGTTCAGTTGCTGTGATATTTGCTATGCAATTGCTCTATCAATTTGCACTCTTTAACTTGAATTAGACTGCTATTGGAATTGCATTTGGCGTATACATAATTACTGGACTTTTGGGTATTACTCTTTCTTTTCACATAAACTTGTCTCATACAAGTTTCAAATTTCCAAAATAGTTACAACAGTTCCAACAATCAAAGCTGTGCAATTTCTCTTAATGTTCAGTTTTTTTACTTTCTTTTTTGATTATCATGGATATTGGATGACTTAAAAGCTCTATCAATGTTCAACGTAGACTTCCATACGTTATTAGTTAAGTTAATTTTATGTAATCTATTGGATTTTTTTTTTTTACAATATGGAGTCATATCCTTTTACAATTAATTGTGATATATGTTGTCATATTTATCGGTTTTAGCCATTCTTATTGTTTCCTTTGTCCTATTTCAGATAATAAACAAGGAGAACTTCCAATTACTACAACTGCGACTTCTCGAAGTCAAGGAACGAGACAACGTAGAAGGGTACGTCGTCGCAGCATTTATTCGTATAATGATTCTGACTCTAAGGCTGAAGTCATTAGGATTCTCCCAAGGCCAATACAAAATAAGTTAAGGGATCGAAGGGCTGAACGAAGGGAAAGAGAAAAGAAATTTAGAGAGCTTAGGGCTTCACTAGCTAAATATATTGAAAATTATAAGTTTACCCGAGATGCACTAATTGATGCTATTGACCAAAATAAACTATCTGATTGGAAAGCCTTAACAATATTACTAGATTCACCTGGACAACCTTTAGGTAGTATTTTAACTGATGTTTATCACGAGGTTTGGCCAAGTGAACCTTTTTGGGTTTATGTTCTTAAATTTGAAGCTGAGTGGGAGAACCGTTTGTACAACTATTTGTAATTTTTTTAATTAATGAAACTTTGTTATTTGTTTGCAACATTACCTGTCATTTTACTCTTCATTTTTTCTTAAGAGTATTACATAAAGAACATAAAGGAATAATAGTAACTTATTCCTTCAACTAATGCAATTTTAACGACATATCCAATGTGTTAAAAAGAGGATTAACATAAAGAGACAGATTAGTTTATGCTGTTTACTTGATTATATATACTCCTCATGTCAAGTAATAATTTACAATCTGTTTTGCTTATTTTCAAATCAAAATTTAATGAGGAATCTAGCTATATTTAAGTAGTTACAAATATTAATTCATCCAAAGTATACTTGCCGTAGAGTATTACTATACAATTAAGTGTTAAAATAAACGATGAATATTTTTGTTAGTACTGTAACTTTAAAGCCTTTGTTAGAAGGATATGAAACTTATGCTAGAAGGAAAGTGTTAAAAATATATTTGCACTTATCTAAGCTCTATAATTTGCTCCTCGTAAAATCGAAGTGTTTATATATTAATCGCATTTATTTTGCTAAGCCAAAAGTTTAAGCTTCAATAGTGCTCAATTGTCATAGTAAGTGCACTACTTTGAAGCTTTGAATAATTTTGGAAAATATGAAAAATGAGGCAAAAAGCTTTTTATTTATACTTTAGTTTTAGTGGTTTAACATTTCCATATTTTAGAGAAGTGCTTCGATCGAGGATAACGAAAAATTGTCGGTAGGGGTAAAGCTTATTTTTCTTTAAAAAAGTTGTTGGGAGTATTTTTTAGTAGTTACACTTTTTTTTTCTGGTTATATATTATTTTATACATATTTTTTCTACTGACTATTTCTCATTGGTATTAGTACTACTTGATGCTATTCTGTTGAGAGATTGTCATTGGGTGGGACTAGCATGGTAAGCTCGAGTGCAATAAGAGGATGATGGAGTTGAGCTACGGTTTTATTGATTCTCTCAAGACTTGGTTGATGATTTGTCCACAAGAAAATCGAGAAATTATGCAATATTTTTTGGTTGATTATTACTTCATTTCTTAAGAAAATGGGAATACCCTATTTTGGATCTCAAGCATACTTTCAAGGATGACTTTTTCAAGCTATTTTTCGGTCATTATATTTGTCATTGCACATGTTTTATTTGGTACATGCAGGACATTCCTGCTTTGAAGGATGAAAAATGATCAAGATTTAAAAAACTATGCGGTTTGTGTTGGAAATGCTTAAAATAGAATTTTGTTCGACTTGGGCGCCTTGATGAAGCTTCGTTTGGGACTGGAACTGAAATTAGATTTAACTGAAATTTTGTTTTTGTCCATTCTAAGTCATGTACCTATCGTGCTTAAAGACCTATTTTTACCCTTTTAAGGCCTTAGTAAGGTTTTGCTGTTTTTTGGACTAAGACTCTTTATGGGGAACATAGGAATGCTCTTTTTTTTTTTTATATATTATTTATATTGAATTTCTTCTAAATTTCAGACAAGTTTTATACTTCACCTTTACATTAGTACATAAGATGAAAGTTCATCTATTTATTTTTTTAATTTTTTTTTTTGAATGCGATCAGTAAATTTAGTCTATAATATACATCGGTTTCTATTATGCCTCATTGCACTATTTTTATTTGCAATGAGCCGCACATCGCGCGGGTACGTTTACTAGTTTAAAAGTAAACTAGTATGAGTTCTAAACCAGCTTTGGCCTTTTGCGATGTGTTGCTTGAACTACATGACTGGACTTTTTATTTTGGGTCAGGTAGTAAACTAGTATGAGTTCTAAACCAGCTTTGGCCTTTTGCGATGTGTTGCTTGAACTACATGACTGGACTTTTTATTTTGGGTCAGGTAGTGGTGTTCTTGAAATGAATCGGGTTTAAAAAAATAAAATGAGTTGATTTAATATGGTGCAGCCACATGGCATTCCATCTAAAATAAAAATATATTTGTTCCATGACGGTAGGGTTTGAAATGACCAAATAGTATAACGAAGAATATATTTAAACTATTTTTGATAGTACAAGGATATATTTAACCCTCTTCTGTTTTATATAATACTACTGGCACTCGTGAGTCGTTGGATTAAATCAACTTTGTCATCTCTTAATAATCATTTTTTATTTTGTAAAACTATTTATACAAAATGAAAAATGAAAAACAACAGTAAACTGCCGTTGCCAATTGCAAAGCATATTTTTGTCTTTAAGAGAAGTCATATTCTAGTTGTAGGGAAATCAATCTGCATAAAAAATGGACAGGTATTACCGAAAATTAAAATGGTGTTGGTAAAGTTGGAATAAGAGCTAATTCCATGTCAAACAAAGCTTATGCCTTCACAGACAGCAAAGGAAGCTGGATAACTGTACTTTTCACTGAAGAACGACTCCGTCATGTGGGAGAACCATGTTCATGCACTATCTACGCATGACCCGATGACGGTCCCTTTTCCGAAAGCGTTCAAGCATGAATTGATCTGTTGCAGCTTGCCTTTTGACGCCTACATCTGAACTTGAATCAAGGGGTTTGGATTCTGGATTTCCAGTATCTTTAGTCTTATCCTTGTACAAATCAGGATGTTCTGTTAAAAACACATTTTGCATCATTAGTGATAAAGGAAACTATGAGGAATAAAAAACAAGCATTTATAAAGTTGCAAGCAATTCCAAGGCTAACCTTGGCCCAAAGGAAAAAATTAAACCCAATATACGAGTTTATAGTGCAAAGACCAGATACTCTTCAAATGATTTATTGGTCGATGGGTATCAAGATTTGAAAAGCTGACATAAATAGTGGGGAAGATGACAGAAAATATTAGATATCATCTTCTCCCCAGAAGCATGAGATTTGTAGGCTCTAACAATGGCATTGAGGTCAAATATGTCATCAACCCCAGTAGCATGAAGGTAAAATTCAACAGAAATGTGTATCATAGGGTGACGGTCGGTCTTGAATTAGATAACATTGATGGTATTTGTGGTATCCTGTAACAGGCGCCAACATATGTTACGGCATGCAGTGGTTCTCATAGACTGGAACTCTGGAAGTCATGGAACTAGGACATGGAACAACAGTAAGGTTTTTACAATGAAGTCAGTTTATTCCTCTCTCTCAGGAAACAGTCAGGTGGGCGACAACTGACCTTGGAAGCAGATCTGGAATCAAGGCTCCTTTCAAAATAGTTTGTTTTGTCTGGTTGATGGCTAGGTGTGCTTGCTTAACCCAGGAAAACATAAAGAATAGAGGAGTTCAGATGAGTTCCAGGAGCTAATTATGCTATGCAGAGTCAGAGAATAATAGCCATTTTTTTTTTTTTTTGTATTTTTGTATTTTGAAGTCTCTACACAGCTGCGGCTACTATTTCTCGGCAAGGTTGGACTCAGGTGGACTACGCCAAAGTTCATAGTTGAGCTTTTGAGGTGCTGACATATTCTGGGAGACAATGTAAGACAGGAATTAGTGGAACTTGATCCCAGCTTGCATTTGGTGGATAGTCTGGAAGAAAGGAATGATATGTGCTTTGAAGATAGATGCAGCTCCATTCAGAGGATAAAGATGAATTGTACACTGCTTTTTCACTTTTGGTGCAAAGAAAATTATGTAAATAATGATGAATCCATACTAGACATCATAGACATCATGATGATGTAAAGAAGAACAAGGACATGTTTTTGCACTCTTAAGGAATCTGTAAATTGGCTAAGAGCATAGCCTTTGTGCTGATGATTTGTACAACTGTTAAGGTAAAAATGCATGGAACTAGGAAGTGAAGATAACTGTGAATACAATTATTCTCCCAAATTATTCAAAGGTTGTCCAATCTAGGTTTGACGTTTCATACAAAAGGAACTTTTATCATCAGACAACTCAGTAAGCTTGTCGGGAGAAGCAATCGCAACCTACCTCTCCGGAGTTTTTCAGCATAATCCTTGCCACGTTGGAAATAGTCTGCAGAGTAACTTGAGGGGATGCTAGATTCAGTTCTGGCTTTTCCCATGAGCCTCTTCTCCTGTAGGAGTTTTTTAGCAGCCTCTGTCTCCTCGATATTCTTCAATTTGTACCTTAGACCAGTAGATTATGAAAACGAAACATCAAAAAATTAGCTACAGAGCTCAACTTCCGAATTTGGCTGGTCCGTTCCATGCTCAAATGTTTCAAAATGAATAGAGTGAAATATGAGAGGTTTTTCACTGTTTAAAACAATATGCGAGAATATTTTCAAATTCATCTAGGGAAAACTTTTCTCCTAGCAAGCCTTTTTCTAAATAAAGGTTACTAGACATTTGATCAGTAACCAAAAACTGTATAAATAAAACCCATGTTTTTCACCATAAGAAAAACGCATACTCTATAGGGAGCTGTATTTCAGCTATTCCAGTAGTCCACTGGGTGGAGCTCTCCTCTGAATTCCTCCTTTTCACCTGAGAGGGGAAGAAAGGCCAGTTCATGAATACAGAAGTAAATAACAAAAGAAGAGCGCCGGATAGAGCGAAAAAACTATAGAGGATTCACAAAGCTGATCCCAACTAATTTGGGGTTGCAGCAAATTTCATTGATTGTTGATTGATTGAAGAGTGGCACAGAAAAACAGGAACTGCGGGGATAAACATGAGATTTAGCCTAATTCTAAAGAATTTAACACTCTTGATATAAAATTCCTTAAAAGGAAATAAAATACCAAAATGTGACGCGCTAAAACAACTGGAAAACTAACGACGAAAATTAACTCTACAACAAAACAACAACAACAACCCAATGGGATCCCACAAGTGGGGTCTGGGGAGAGGAGGAAAATTAACTCTAATTAACAATAATTCTGAACCCCAAATCCAAAAGGACTGCTAGAGGAGGCGCTATATTCAGATTGAACTATGCTAACTAGCAGTAAATTGCTACATCACAGTAACTCATTTCTGCCCCTTAGCTCCTGGATTTCCATAAATCTTCACATAGTTGTTACCAACAGTAACTGCTTTCACTTTTTATTTATATTCTTAAAATTAAGGTTTT